TACTAGATCCCTTAATCGCCAATATGAAACAGGTTCTGTTATCGATATTCAAGTACGATAATGATTGAAAGTGATGGGTATTAGTGCTAAAATAATTGAATCTTTCAACTAAGGGGGGATCAAGACAAATCAGAGATTGTATCGATTACGAACAAAATTACATCTAAATAGAATTTGATATTTCTTCTAAGCCAATAACATACGCTTTAGGCTAATTGTCTTAAGCGATTGTTAACTGATAAGCCTATAGAACAACGGTAACGCAGACATGACAGAATATGAAGAAGCTGTGAAAATACACTAAACAAGGATAAAATTTAAGACTTCATATCAAATATGACTGACTCTGGCAAAACCAGCCATTTGTAGGAAAATAACAAATTGAGTTTTTGGTATTTTTAGATTCTGCGTAAACCCTTCAATGTTTATTTGATGGCAATTAGTTAAGTATTTGCAAAGTTATGAATATATTATAATTCATTTGATATCAGCCATGTAGGTTTAGAGAAAAACAGCTTTTTAAAGATTCCAAAATCAATAGTTTATTATTAATATTTGCATTACCTTTTTTTTAAATATGCTTTTCAGTTTAAGTGATTGATATTTTGCAGAAACATTCTTCAATATAATCTTCTTTTGTAACATTCAAAATCCTGAAAATGTTGAGACAAACGGTGGCTTTTGCCAGTCTATCGCAAATATCAAGCATACTTGTCTAAATTGTATTATAGTTTTTATAAGTTTGTAAGGAAAATTATTGAGAAAATTTTTGTTTGCCAGGTTACCAAAGTAAAGGTACCATATTCACCTGTGTAAATCATTGAAAAATAAATTTTGTTTTCATCTGAGTTACGCCCTATCCTGACTATTAATTTCTATTTAAAAAAAATGCGACATGCCTATATATGGTCATGATGGCATCACATCTTAATCATAGGTGCATCATGCCTATATAATCTAGACAGAATTTTAGATTGAAAGTTGGTGACTTGTTTTACTTTTATTTTTATCAATTAAAAATTAATATTTTATTTTATTTTGAGAGGTTTCACATATTTATATTTATAAACAATTCTATTTAAAATAATAATTTTAAAAATATTAGAAAATATGACATTTTCATAACAAACTATCTATATTTTATTGAATAAATTTACATTATGGATAGATATTTGTTTATTCAGGATAATATATATTTTTTTAAATATACCGATATTACAAATATGAACTTATAATAAACAATAGTATTCATTTTTAGTGGATTGTAAATTATGGCTGTTAATATCAGCAAAAACATTAGTAATAGATTTATTACTATCTCTGTAAAGTTTGATTTCCTTTTCACCTGAAGGATACTCAAGTCAACTACTATTTAGAAGCCTCTAATGTATTTTTAATTTACATTTTGATAATTTCTACATTTCTTACGTCCGTGCATCAATCATTTAAGCTGGTTCTACGTCGTAGATTGAAGTGTTCACAGATGTCACGGGTAGGGGGAGTACATCATAAATTGCTCTTCGCAGCGCAATGCCAGTTCACGAAACAATAAAACTTCAGCTTTTCTCCATTACTTTTACAATGATTGATATAAAACCCATCCGTGCAGATAATGCACAAAGCTGTGGCCTCTGGAATTTTTTTTGATTGACTATAATGCAATGCAATCATGAATTTGAAATTTGAAATTGTACTTAAAACCACATTTTCTTTCAACTGACAGTTGGCTATCCCTTCCTCAGAAACTAAACGGTCTCCAAACAACTAAATTTAATTCTATACATTTTAAATAAATGTAAAAAAGATTATTATTATTATTAAAACTAGTAATAAAATTAACTATAATTAAAACATTTTATTTCAAACACTATTCACATACTTAAATAACAAAATGCTAATTGTCTAATAAAAAATGGTATATTCTCCACATTTTATTTCAATTGGCAGTTGGCTATCCTTTCCTCAAAAACTAAACTGTCTCAAAAACAATAAAATTTAATTCTATACATTTTAAATTGAAAATGTAAACAAGAATATTGTTAAAACTAGCAGAAAAAAATTAATATAATTAATAAAATTTTATTTCAAACACTTCACATGCCTAAATAAAAAAATGCTAACTGTATAATAAAGAATGGTATATTTTCCTAAAATATATGAGAATTTATAATGCTCAGTAAATTAGTTCTGATTGGCATTGATGAATTAATAAATGGAATATGTATTATGTTTATATTCATAGTATATAAAATAAAATGGTATTCGGTAAAAAATGGCTAGGACCAAAATTCCCCCACCTACCCCCCAAAAAAAGAAAAAAAAAATTATGATCTTGGAACAAAAATACATTGAACATATTAAAAATAATAATATAAAAGATACACACTTATTATTACTATCATTAATGGACTCTATAAACAAAATGATGCCTAAATATACAATATATTGAAATTATATATTACAAATAACAATTTGAAACACACAAGCTAATACAAGATGTTCGCTAGGCCTGAGGTTGTTGTTAGTTAGCAATCACCTTATGGCCATATGAAAGCTAAGCTCTTATAGTTAATTTTGACTAATGAGGATTATGACTATTGCTCTAATGGTGTTAGAGACTTTGCCATTCCTAAAGACGGTCGGCAAAGAATTACATTTGCCAACCATTAATTACATTTTACTGATTATATTCCAACTAAAACTGCATCTGTCCAACAGATGCAAAATTTGATTAATGATTCGAGGAAAAAAAGACATTAAGACCTTATGAAGAATATAACGACAGAGCATTCATCTAATTCTGCCCTATTTTTTTACAACTTACTATACTTTGCCGCATTGATTGGGATTAGACGTTAGGTAAAAGCAAAAACGTTGTAAACTCAATGTTTGTCCCGAACTAAGGGTTAATTATGCATTAGGTTCATTGACGAATACATTAAGTCGGTGAAGTTAAGAACGCAAGTCACTTTTTTTTATGCATTTAAGTAAATATCCAAGTTATATATATATAATGGAATATGTTGACAATGATGTAAATGAAAAAGGATGTCTGAGATGAGAAGGCTATTTTTTTTTTTTTTTAGAATCAGAATATTATAGTGCTATCAATACCCAGGAGACACAAGGAGCTGGAATCATTATTTCCCAGGTCATTGAGTACCAAGTTGGCAAAACCGGCACATTTTTGCGCAACTTTCTCTGCTTCCTTAAGAGCATCCCTAGTCTATGACTATGCTATGAACAACCCAAACGTTCAATGCTACACCATCCTACCAAGTACCCATGGATTTATACTCCTGGGTGGAGAGAGGCAAACATAAGTAAAGTGCCTTGCCTAAGGACACAAGCAACACGCGCCAGTCTCAAACTCCCGATCTCACGATCAGAAGTCCAACACCATACACGCAGCGCCACACGCTCCTACGATATAAATTTGTGAATGTCATTATGATTTAAAGTATGTATCTTGATACAGTAACAAAACAAAGCAGTCAGATTATAATTTAATGTTAGATTAGCATTTAATTTAAATTGTCTAAGCTGATCGATGTTGATTGGTTTATACTATTAGTATACTCTTTTGAAAGTATAATACATACTCCAAGTATTGAAATACACGCCATCGTGTATTTCAATACTTGGGGTATACTCTTTTGTGTTCATCCAATGTGTGAGGGGGTTATTATCTCTGTTTGTTATTATAGGGTGAATATTTTTCCAATGTTTCTTGCATTGTATTTTAAAACATTTTTAGTAATCTGAGTTGAAGAATTGTTTGGAAAAGTGAAAGTAAAATTATAAAATATAAATTATTATTCTCCTGAAGACGATTGAAGGATCTCAATCGAAACGTCGAGACTTCCTCAACAACAACTGATCTTTTCAGAACTACTTACGTAGTGTACCGCAAGCTTCAACATATATACTATTAATAATTATTATTAATTTAAAATATTATTACAACAATCTGAACTTATTCTCTAAATCTTGCTTGAATTATCATCATCATCATCATCATCATTTGTCATATTCATTATTAATAACAAATTGATGAACCTTAGTATAACACCAGTGATCTACACTTCACCTGGTCTCTCTCCATTTGATTTCCACAATACTGTTGCTTCTACCAATAATACCATCATACCTGACTGAAGTACCTTCTCCTTTGTATTATCTGAACAATACCACCACATAGAAATAGGAGGTGGATGAGCGACTTGCAGAAAGGATTAAAACCACATTAACGAAGAATGATTATCTAAAGACAAACTTCAAGGCCAGCCTCTGTCCACAAAGAGGTTGGATTAAGGTCTCGAGAAAGCATGCAATCTATAAGTATAACAAACTACTGGTTTCTATAATATTGTGCATGCATGTCACTGCATACTGTATATATGTAGAAACACTGAGATTAATAGTCATTCCATTAATATCTATGAACGAATTGCTTGAGAACAGACAGATAGGTTTGTTTGGGCATGCACACATGGGATATCGGGCCAAGTATATAGCACGCTGGAAAACAAGTTGTAGAAACTCGTCAGCTTAAAAAGTAAAACAAACTATATCTTCTCATTCGTTTAAGAACAAAACTGGAAGTAAATATCTGTTGACCTGAGATATGCTGTAGTTCCATTTGGAAGGATCGTCGGATATTGGTATGGTAACAATTACTATCGAGCATTAGTAAATACTGGTAGTGATGGAATAAGAGAAAAACAAATCTGATCCTAAGGGAAGATGGCAGGCATGCAGAGTCTTGGAATAAAATCCATGCAAGTTAGCAGTTTCAAAATCATTTTGATTCATTTTAATATCTTAATCATTTTTATCTGGAAAATTTATAGCATGCAGCAAGCAGCACTCGGTTCTTCCAAGCATTTGGTTATACAGCAATTATTCAGCACAGCAATGTTCAAACCACGGCCGTGCACGTGTTGTATTTGAGTTAATGTTTATCATGCACTCGTGCGTTTCATTGTTCTTTTTTTTACCTGGCCCTGTACACCATTAGGGCGTGATGCAAATTGTTGCGAATAACCGGCAGAGACAGTGAGAGTGTACGTGTGCAACGAACGTGAAGAAGCGAAATGGGGGAAAAAAGCATACATACATTTTTCGTGAAATTTAAGTGAATTTACATAAATATAATTAATTTCCATTGTTTCAAGTACATTAACAGACAAAAACTACATAAAAAACTACAAGTAAATATTATAACAGTCAAACATACAGAGGTTTGGAGGGATAGTGTAAGAAGTAATTGTACATGTATTATATATTGTATGCAGAAAAATAAACTGTCAATTAAATTGAAGAAAATATGTAATTTGCTCATTATGTACACAATGATATCATATAACACCCATATATGAGCATGATGATGTCACATAAGGCTCAAACTTAAAAGTATGAACCAGGCATAACAATATGGGCTGCTGTGAGAATCGAACCAGTGACAATTGGATTATTATTTTGGCACTTTGCCACCTGGTCCATAGCTAACAATGGTCATTCACAGCTCAATATTTAATGTAACTTGTTGTATATATTTCTTTCACATCTAATATCACATACACCCACCAAATACAGGAAGTAAGGATGCTATATAAACCAAGTGTCTATATAAGCCTTAGGGAGTAATTTTGTTTTTATTCATGAAAAAAATCTTGGTGTCACATAGGATTTGGACCCAAAATTCTGGTATTGGAATGCAAGCAACTAAACCACAAAGCTAAATTTCAATTCACATCCATGCATTGTCATCCCTTAACCAGCGCAGTTTCTATATGTTTCCATTAAGGAGATATTAACTCAATAATAAGTGGTTTGCTGTATCTGCCGATATTCTGAATTTTTAATCTTCGTATCTCATAAAGATATGGGAAGTGAAATAGGATAACGTATGACCTAATAAATTAGCATTGCAAGAAATAATAATTAAATTTGTATGGTATGGAATTGAATCATTGGATTTATTAAGCAAATGATTGAAATTCAATTTAACCTTTTGCTAGCATCTGTATTTTTAAGGGTTATGAATAATTATAAGGTACACTAATGCAATATATGGATTATATAATCATCTTCATAACAGTTTGTTATATTTAATTTTTCCATTAACCACTAGTAAAGGATATTGAATTTACAATTACCTAAACCATCTGGTTTCAATCAATAATATCATGAAGAAATGTATTTTATTTTTCTTTATTTTTTGGATCTTTCTAATAGCATATTCTAAATAGATTTGATATCCAGGAAACTGATACAAGTGATTATATTTTATAATGGGTTCCTGAATATAAATTAGCATTGCTTTTTTAAGATGTTGACCAATCATTTGAAAACACATCATCAAGAGGACAGGTGGAACAGTTGTCTCGCAAGATTTCCTTTAGAAATAAAAAAAAAACAAAACACAAAGATCATACGGTTAGACGAGAGGAATCAAATTAAAACTACATCAGCATTCATTATGTTTTCTTTTTTTCATTTACTCCAGAAAACAATTCATTCCTCCACTTGCGATATTTTATAGCGCGCTGATAGTTCCGCCGGAGGCTATGTGTTTATAGTTGACTTACGATCGGATGAAGCATGTCATGTTTTGTATAGAGCAGAGCATCAAATATACATGCCTCTATAATATATTCACTACTTTTTCAAGTGTCTTGCATCCTACGATTTTTTTTCAACATTTGTTTAATTAGTCGCACACCATTGAATTCATGTAAGTAATTAAATATGCATAAGGTAAAGGCATAATGGAAAATTATAAATAAAATTTGAGCTTCAAATTACAAGCCAGCAAGAAGATTTATCAATTATTTATACACTCTGATGAAATCTGTAAATATCTTTCTCTGTTGTGACAAATAGGTTTTGATGGTATGTACACTAAAATTTGAGTTTCTGGGCCAGGGTATATTATAAATTTGTTATAGTGGGCAAGTGCTTGCAGGAGAGTCTGGGCTTCCAGATTTAGGCATGTGTGGGCAAGTGTTTGCAGGGGGGTGTCTGGGCTACCAGATTTAGGCATGTGTGGGCAAGTGTTTGCAGGGGGGGGGTGTCTGGGCTACCAGATTTAGCATGTGTGGGCAAGTGTTTGCAAGGGAGAATGCACAGTGTAAGTGTTAATACTCAACATTAAAAATAAACATGAAATACATTACTGTCTTACGTATACAAAACACAACTGGATTAAAAACATAACTTGACAAATATTAACAAGTGTTCATTATTATACATAATTGCAGTCATGGCAGTGGAGGACTTGAACAATGTAATTGTGACACACAGGGAAGAGTGCCAGGTAATGAGATGAGTTACCAAAAATGGTGTGGTCATGCCAAATGCCTTATTGGACAAAAAACCAATCCCAATTCTGCCTCTGTCATCGTCATAATACAATCATTGAGATTATGATAATTTGATTGAAAAAAATCATGCACTTATTAAACCATTATTAAAATCACTGTTTTATCTGTCAAATCATGTGACGATCTAATGAATGTGACCATCAATGAGAACAGATATGATCATCCAATCAGAACAGTCATGTGATTATCCAATGAGAAGTCATGTGACCATCCAATGAGACCAGTCATGTGACCATCCAATGAGACCAGTCATGTGACCATCCAATGATACCAGTCATGTGACCATCTAATGAAACTCGACATGACTATCCAATGAAACTCGACATGACTATTCATTGAAACTGCAGTAGTCTATGTGACTATCCAATGAGACTAGTCATGTGATCATCCAATGAAACTTGTTATATGCGACTGTCCAATGAGACGACTCATGGGACTCGAAACTCGACCTTAACAAAACACATGTTTACAAGAATTAAAAACAACACGACAGGACATAAAAATATGGATTATATAAATTAGCATATAGTCAAAATAACACATAATTTAAGATACATATGGTATCTAAAATTATTTTATAATACTATACATAAACATCATTTCATATTATTATTTATGCAGTATGAACACACTGGAATAATAAAAAAATAAACATCCATTAACAAGACATTCACATCTTCTGTACAAGAACATTGACAAAATCTGACAAAATTACATTAAGTTATTGAGGATTGTGTTGTTCTTTATATCATTAATATGCCACATAGACCTTTAAAGGTTAAATGTTAAAAGCAAAAATACAAGAGACAGATAAATATTTGAAAGTTATTTGCATATTTCCATTACTTGTGTATAATGTTGACCCTCAACAAGAGAGAAGCAAAAGTATTCACCTATGCTTATAATTTCCCAATTAAGTAAATCTCTATCAGTCCACACATCAAATTCTGTCCGACAAACTTGTGTGATGTGCCCATATATGGGCATCATGTGTCACATTACACACAAATATGGACATATTAAATTTTTTTTATTATAAAATTTGATAGTGTTGAAAAAAAAAACAGGGGATGAGAAAGGTGATAGTAATTTGCAAAATATGCTTAGTATTCTTAAAAAATTTTTACCTTGAGTAACTACACAACAACAGATGTTTTTAATATTATCAATAATTAATTGTCTTATTAAAGATGTTTTGTGTCTTGAAAATGACAAAAAAATCCTAGAAATATTATTTTGAAATTAACTTGCTCAATTTGCAGTATACATAAAAAATTATTAACTTTAGCATAGAAATTACTGAATTTAAAAAATGTGTAGTTTATAAAATTGTATGTGTATAAATGGTAAACTTACTGTAAAATGTGAGGTTTGCCATAACTTCGACTGAAGACTGGCCCGTCATGGATGCCATGCAGGCGTACACGCCTTGATGGATGATACTGGGGTTGTAGATAACAAGCAAGCTGGTTGTCTCACTGGGCAAAATTTCACCATTCTGCATCCAGGAGTAGGAAAGCTGGCTTAGCGGCCTACGAAAGATACAAGATACAAAATAGAGATTTCTTTATTGTCATAAACCAAAACAAGAAGGTAAGAGATAATAATAATAATAATAATAATAATAATAATAATAATAATAATAATAATAATAATAATTGTTTTTTAAATTCTTTTTTATTTATTAATTTTTTTTAAATTCTTTTTTATTTCATATACAGTAATACTTAATATACAATCACTAATAACATTTTAAGTTAAGTTTGACACAAAATGGAAAGAAAATCAGAAACAATTAAACCCAAGTGCCAAACTAGAGCATTTAATTAACCCACTGACTTAATAAGCACTGTCTATATGATCAGATTTTAATTGACAAAAACATGTGATATGCCTAAATATGGTCATGATGACATCATATCATGACCATATATAGGCACATCATGACTATATATAGGCATACAACATATTTTTTATCACACAGACATTTGATTTTGTGGACAGAGATTTTTTAAGAAACTAGGATGTTCATATTTTAGTTCATAAAAAGGGAAAAATGATTTTTATATAAATTCCCAACCATATTTCATAATTTTATGAGAATGTAAAATCCAATCTGGTCTATTAAAAATTTTGTTAGAAATTATCTTATTTTGGTTCGTGAGTGGAACCAAATTGTAGTGAGAATTTTATGATGATGATGATAATAATTATGGTGATGATAAATTTGTTTTTATTAGCTATACCAGAAAGATATGTTAATTTAAGGCTTTACAATATTTTTCTTGTGTCCCAGAGCAAGGCACTTTATCTGCATTGATTATCTCCACCCAGGGTACCTGGTGGGGTTGCCTGCTAATGCACTGATTACCAGCAGTAGCACTTATGTGAGACCTAATGACTAGGGAAAAGAACTGCGCTTTATAATCTTAAGGAAGAGGTGCATTACAAATGCCTATACCAGTACAAGTACCAATACATTTTTGAAAAGGAGGGGTGGGTTATTAAACTTACCTTGCGTTTACAATACATTCAAGTTCGATGAGCGTATCAGAGTCGGTAAATGCCGTGTTCTTAGGTGGTATAACAAGCGTTGGGGGAATAGGACTGTTACTGTTAGCTGTAATGACAATTCAAATTTATTAATAAACAATAATACTGTACAACCTATAAAATCCAAAATACATTATTCAACAGATGTCTAGTTATTTGTTAAATACACAAACATCAGTATGCTTAGAATGGTTGCTATATAAACAACACATATTTAACATTATAATATAAATGATGGAAATTTCTTTGAAAAACCAGGTGCTTTTCTAGGGAAAAAATGAAAGAGCCTAAAATAACAAAAATCGTTCTGAATATACTGTTCAATAAATTAAACATTCTCTTTACATGGTGACTCTAAGCTACCATCAAAATTCTACTCTGTAATTATGGAAATTTATCATTGAACAACAGAAGCAATTAGGAAATTGTTATTTGATGAGAAAATGTATACATTTGATTCTCTGATAGATACTGAGTGGATTAAACATAATAAAGAATTGCTGGTCCTGAGGCAAATTTTGAGGAATTTACAGCCATCTAGATTTCAGTCATGTAATATTAATTGTTGTTATTGAAAACAAATGAAGGAAAGAAGGTATAATTACAAGAATGATAAATAGTAATTAGCATTTACATTTGGCTAGCCAGAGGGATAGGGGGGGGGGGAGATCTTTTGCAGGCTATACTAAATCCTATGATGGGTTTCAGTTAACTTATTAGTACGTAGGTTTTATCAGAGGTACTATTTATATTAAAAAATGGAAATTAAATAGTTTTCTCATACTGTAATGTTTCTTATTTATTTTAAATTAAAGGCCTGATAATTAATAAAATTCTAAGGTATTAAGTTTTTGTCCACACTAGGTAATTTTATGTAACAAACAACTGTGATATGCCCATATTTGGGTGTAATATGACATCAAGGATGTACTGTAGTTACGGTGGGTGGGGGCCACGCAGCTTGAAGTTTACCACCCACTCTAAAGCTAATTTTACGACCTCCATCCACCCTTATTAACCCACTTTTCCATCTTAATAAATTCTACTTATAATACTTACCTGTATAGTTTATCAATGTTATCACCCACCCACCCTCCAAATACCTATCACACACCCTTAGTTACAACCCTGGACATCATCATGCCCAAATATGGGCATATCACACAGAATTGTCACAAGATTTGATAGTGTGGACAGCGCTTTGCATTGTCATTTATGCTAATATTAAGCTACGTTCTACAGTCGCACAAACTTGATTTTGACACACCACTACAATCCATAATACAACTTCTGTCATTGGATTCCAATTTTTAAATAAATACTTCAAATGAAAATGAATGACCAATACTATCTGTCAAAAAAAAACTCATTTTGAGTTTGAATGGCAACCACCTGTTTTAGCGAGAGCAGGTCACATACATAAATTGGTTTTTCCAGGGACGTTTTAGAAAGAAGAATTATTGTATCCATTTTTCAAACATAGATCATAGTGGAACTTCAGAGTATTAACAAAATTGATGTAAATTTAGCTATCAAATATATTTTTCCAGCTTAAATAACTAAAATATATTTGATGTAGTGTTGTACAGTAATAATCATACTATTGCGGTGTAGTATTTATCAAACGACATTATTTACATGTTCATTTAAGCGTGAGAAATACTGTATGTACTCGTTTGAAATGTAAAAAAAAACAAAAACATTTTAACAAGTATCAGATCAAGCAGAAATACTATATATCACTTTTACGTGTTTTACAATAAGTCAATAATTTATACTTCTTATAGCAACTTAAGGGCTTACAAGTAGAGAAACTAAACTATTTTTATATCTCAAGTAGTTTAACTAAAGGCAACTTATGTACTTAAAGTGGACAGAATTTAAAGTGGATAGAAGCAATATTTAAAAAAGAAAATAAAGAGTTATTTTTTCAATGTTTCCTCTTTCCATTCTTTAAAATAAGTTATGAATGAGATAAAAATCAATAAACATTGTTCCACAGAAAATGAAAGAACAGTACAATACTTTATGCAAACTTGAAAATATGTATTTTTAACATACTGTAATTCACTTCAAGAGGAAAGGAAAACTAAGTACTGTATGTGTTTGTACCATCTTAACAACATGTAATTTAAGTAGAAAAATTATATTCTTAATACAAAAATGAATGTTCCAAAAGAATTCTTATTGTTTTATTTTAACTTGTAATTTATGAGACTTTAATTATTTGGTTTGTAAAAGTAAGTTATGTTAGAGATATAAAACCTAACACATTGTCTTTACAGAAAGTTTAGGGGCTAAAGTGACTTTAAAAGGAAGTTGATTTTTATTTACTGTATAAGAAAATATCTGTACATCGGCAGGATTGGTACTGTCAAAACTTACCCTGGACGTTCAAAGTAATGGCTGCACTAACTTTGGAAACCCCTAACTTATTGTTTACAGCTTGACAATTGTATGTAGAAGCATCAGCAAGAGAAGTATCCAAGATCACAAGGCGACCATCAAGGGTGACAATTTTGTTGCTTCCCGTTAAGGATCTTCCAGCCTGTGTCCAAGAATAAGTTGGTACAGGAAAGCTATCTGTATGGTAGATAAAAACAAAATACAGTAAATAAATGAAAACTTGAAAAGTGTTGAAATTAGATAAATGCTGCCAATGATGGGTCACCACAAAGATTGACTGATTGGTTGATTGATCCAGAGGTACAGTAGACATGAAATAACCTGTGGACTAACTTGGAATTGATGGGAAGAAGAGGTTCTGCTTTGGGCTCAATTAAGGATACAATGTACCTTTTACCTAAGCCCCGCCCCTTCGAAATTGTTCCTCAGGTCCTACAAGAAGATTGCATAAATGTGATCGGCTCTGGCAAAAACCTTCTGCTTGTAGGGAAAATTCAAAATTGATTTGTTTTTGGATTCTGCAAGTAGTCTTCATTAAAATAGTGTTTATTTGATAGAAATTGGTTGAGTATTAGGAAAGTTATGAATATATATTTCATTAGATATCAGCCATGTAGGTTTTGAGAAAACAGTTTTCAAAGATTCCAAAATCAATGATTTGTATTATAAAAATAATTTTAATATACTTTCAGTAGAGTTAGTGATTGATATTTTACAGAAATGTTGTTCTTTCATAGAATGCAAACACAAAAATTAATATGTTCAAAATTCTTATTCTCAAACGTTTTGGGTGGTTGTGGGAAATTAGAAAATGCGACAAACGAAGGGTTTTGCAAGAGCCGGTCACAAATGTTATGTGCGTTTGAAGGACACGTGCGTTTGTGAGAAAAATGACTTCTTAGCGATGTTCTGATTGGGCAGTCGTTGAGTTTGATTAACAATTCCTCATTCTGTACGTTTTACCGGTGTTTCCCTCTACTCTCTCCCCCACCCTTCCCCTCCCCCCCAAAAAAAATGCACAGGAGCTAACAATGTGTAGATAACCAAATAACAGAGGCAATATTTCTTTGTGCATACTTTTCAACTTAGCATAGCTCACTTTCTTCACTTCACCATGAATTATTACCAAGCAATATTGTTTTTTCTTTTTTGCAGATATGCTTATAACTACAGTACTTCAGATGCTGACATATTCTTAATAAAATACTGTACTTGATTTATCTAAATCTTAAACTGACAACAGAATTTTGACAGATGAGCTCCTGTCATCAAGCAAGCAGCCATGAACAAATTTCAACGTGAGAACTATCACTCTTTCGCTAGATGGAAATTTCATAGGCAGTAAAGAAAGTCAGATACATTGATAGATATTTACGCATAAATCAACACCTGCTAAAATGATGCTGTCCATCATATCTGCACACTGAAAGATAGTGTGACATTACTTCACCTTACTACTGCCATCATAGCCAATGATTAATAAGTCGCACTTTAACAAGAATTCACATTAAGTTTTTATATAATTATTCAGCCACTGAATAATAAAATGTATGTTACTCATTACGCATAAATTAACACACTGTTAAAATGATGCTGTCCATCAATTCTGCACTGAAGATAGTATGACATTACTTCACCTTACTGTTGCTATGATCACCAATGATTAATAAGTTGCATTAACGTGTATTCACATAAGTTTTTATATAATCATTCGACCACATATAATTAAAATGTATGTTACTCATAGATATTTATGCATAAATTAACACACTGTTAAAATGATGCTGCCCATCAATTCTTTACTGAAGATAGTATGACATTACTTCAAATTCTGTTGGATGGTCACGCATGAGTGAATCCATTCTAGCATCGCATTGTCGCACATCTAAAGTCTCCTATTATCAGGCCTTAAGTTCTCTGTCTACACTATCAAATTTTGTGTGACAAAAAAGTGTGATATGCCTATATATGGGCATGATGACATCACAGCATGACCATATATAGGCATAGCATTACTATATATGGGCTTGTCACATTTTTTTGTCAAAGAAAATTTGATAGTGTGGATAGAGCTTTAGAAGATTTGTTTTTTGACTGTGAGGAAAAATTTTGCTGCCTGAAAGGTACCGAACCAGGACCCTGGAATCAGAAGGCAGGCACCTTAACCACTAAGTTACAGCTTTACTTTATACAGTCAAGTGAGGTCTAGTCAATGTACACACTGACCATGATGCTTTTTTTTTGGAAGTCGAGTCCAACATACTTAAAAAAATAAGGTGAAGCATTGAGAAGAATTTTTTGGTTTTCATTTTAAAAGCATTCTCAAATACCTGATAAATTACTTTCTGTATGGTGATATAATTGCTCTATATAGGTCATTTACCTGCAATGTTAGTTTATGGATTTATTTTAGAGGATGAAGTATTCAAGTTACAAATAATTAAATTATAGTAAATTGCATCCCTTCCTTTCTTCCTTCTATTTTTTTCTGACAGAGCTTCTATCAAAACACAACACTAATTACTGTTTAATGAGTAATATAGTACAGTACATGTAGGAGCATGTACCTATAGTATGCTTTATTCATTAATCCATTAAGGTTAAAATTAGTCAATGTTTGCATTAAACATCAATCAACCTAGATACTTGACCCAAATACATAATAATATCAACAGGCATGCAAATTTAACTCTGTACATTAATCAATACATTGTATGTTTACAGATACACAAATAATATCGATCAACACATTCAATGTACACACTGTAAATAACAAAGAAGAAAAAAGTATACTAAAACTATATTAATATTGATGAACACACATAATAACAGTTTTTTATGTATTTTTTCTTCTTTATTATTTAAGTATTCACTGCTGTCTGTCGGGCCGTCTGTGTGTCTCTCTGTCTGTTAGCAAGATTACGCAAAAATTAATGAATGGATTATCATCAAAATTTAGTGGAATAGTAAATAATGATCTAAGAAAGACTTTCAATTTCTGAAAGAAATGGTCAAAGAACAAAAGTCAAGGTCATGGAAATTTGATTTTATATTTTTTAGCATATAAGTTAATAATAGAATAGCCCCTCGTATTCAGGTAGCACTCAGGAAAACAATGTTCCTGAATACGACGGGCGATTCCATTATTTCTTGAGGGTATGCAGTGTTGCCCATCATACATGGCCTGCGTATTGATGGTACTGTATTTACACACAGGGCGGTGGTATGTACTATATAAAGTGATAACTCTAGTTCATAATGTAATATATTTTGATATAGAATCAGTTTCCAAACTGCAGAAAAACATTTATAGCCAAATAGTTTATAATACTCTTAAATTTGTAAATTTGTATTCATTAGTTTTTGTATATTTTGATTCTTTAACTTATAAAAATACACGGTAAACACAAAACCATGAATTATGTTCGACAAACCAAATAATCTTGTATTTCAACACACTACTCGCAGCAAATCTTCAAGTTTATTGCACAACATTAGAAGATATCACCATAATCAGTATTTGAGTATAGCGCTAGCTCGCTTTTGATATTGGTGACACACACTAGAGCGGTTGTACGTCCATACACAAACAATACAATCAAATAACATGTAAACTTGCCTAAGTCAACTTTCCTAACTCAAATAATTTCTAAGTCTAGCCAGTGAAGTTGTCACTTAAGTTCTCTCCACACTGTCAAATTTGTTGGTGACAAATCTATGGGATATGAAACACTAAAGAGAAAAACAAAAAACCGAAATCTTTGGAGAAACTGGGTGCCTAAGGACCTGCCAGCAAGAGGCAGAGCATCATAATTAAGTTAGTAAGTAGTAAATGTGATATGCCCATATTTAGATGTAATATGACATCATCATGCCCATATATAGGCACACCACACAAATTTGTCACATAAAATTTCATAGTGGGAATGGGATTTGTTCTGAATGGAGATCTACAAAGTCTGCCTAAAACTCTGTCCAGACTGTCAAATTTTATTTGACAAAAACATGTGCCATGCCTAAATATAGTCATGATGACATCACATCATGACCATATATAGGCACATTATGACTATATATGGGCATAAAACAGCTTTTCGTCTAAGAAAATTTGATAGTTTCGGACAAAGCTTTTAATAAAGTGTTATGATGAAAATGGCAATCAGGTTCTTAATCTTTCTTTTGTCAAAGGACTTACCAACATCCGTACTTTATATTCAACGTACGAGACAATCAATTTTAATGGACAAGAACCGAAGTAGAGATAGTCTACTTCTGCATATAAAATTCATCGGTTACACCCATTGTGTTTGCGAGTAGATTACAATTTGAGATTGTTCACATTTATTGCAGTTTAATGGAAATCACAACATGAGAATATTAAGGTTATCACCATTATCACCCTTCATACAAAAATATATTGTTTTTTATTACTAGATTCATGAAAACGAAAGTGGAAAATTGGAAATTAGTGCATTTAAGGTCCCATGAAAAAAAACAAACAAACATTAGTTTATCACACTAAAATACCTAGGCTGAAAAGGTGATGAGGGAGGGAAGCTCTTTATTTTCGGTTTTTGCTAAAGCCATATCACCCTTGGGCTATTGGCTCATGCATTGATATTCAAAGTAAAAGACAGAATTGAGATACTGATTAGAAACAATATCTACAGTACTAACTATTTTACTAAAAACATAAAAAAAAAAAAGGAAAATAAATAAAATATATAAAAAGAATAAAAAAATCCCAAAATATATATCTTTTTTCACTACCACAGAACACATAATATAATTTATTGGCTCTCTCTTTCAAAGCAGAGGAACACTCACACGCAGGAGAGGTTCGACCATACAACAGAACAAAAGTTACAAGTAAAGATAAAATTCATTAAAAAAAAGAGACAATAGTAATGAAAAATCCAAATCCAATTAAAATAATATTATTCTAAAGTTTAAAAGGGAAAAAAAGAAAAAAAAAAAGAAAAAAAAATGTAATAATAAAATAAAGTAAATAAAATAGATAAATAAAAACAAGCATATAATATAATAAATGCAATGTGAAATTGATGTAAAAGCATACATATCAAAAATACAACAGAAGTATAGTCAATGTCTTTTCATAAAATCATTAAAGAAAGAGAAAAAAAAGAAGAAAAAAACACCTATAAGCTATTAACATTATTAGCACGGTCATTTAAAACATGTGTTCGTTTTTTTTTTTTTCACATGCAGGCTAATAATTTTTTTCTATTGGGCCTGAAAACAATGGAAACATAACACTGAGAATAAAATGCACAAAAATACTTCGAGATGGCAAATCCAAGATGGCGGATGGGAAACAGTTACTACTTTTACCAAGTAGACACATTGAAAGCAAATAAAAGAAGCACTAGACATGATTCATACCATATGTATCCCTAACCACGAATGATAGAGAGGAATTTTACCGATGTGAGTTAGCCAGTTTCGTACATTTTGTAAAATAAAGGAAATTTTAAAAAATTTAAAAATTTGGGACGAGAACCTAGCTATTTTTTTTATTTAGCGTTAAATGGAAATGTAATATTAAGAACGCACACACTGTGCCCGATGGTTGTCACCGATCTGATTCTATAAAAATGCAACACCACGATGCGCATGCAGAAGATCGTTTCATTGACGATCTGTGCAGACTGCCTACGGTAGTACGACCTCTGTACAACGCAGTTAATGCCCGTTTAGACAACGATGTCATTGCACTGACAACTTACCTATTTCTGGGCAAGTAAGGATAATGGGATTTCCTTCTCTTACTGATGCTGACTGAGCACTCCCTTGAAAATCATCAATATCTGTGAAAAGAAATTAAAAATAAATCATTTAACTTTTGAAAATAAATGAGTCTGGTCTTGACCTGTGGAGTCACTGGGGACATTAGAGCAGTAAGGGAATTTAATAGTGTTTTCTCAATTCTAGTAGAAATTTCTTGTTGTCTATATGATGAGATTTTTATCATTATATCTAAACAAAGATTGACTCTTTTAACCCAATGATATTTTCATATTTCAGCTTCAAGTTCAAAATTCATCTTCACCTATTGACAGTATAAACAAGACATCTACTGTATGTGCATGAACTTTTTGTTGAAATCCAAAATTCAGAAGTATTTTTTGGAAGATTAATGAGCTGCATTTGACTCGATTTTTTAGCCAGCTAGATGCAGTATCAAGAACACATGAATAGCACTACAATAGCAATACAAAGTACGCCTAACCAGTTGAGAGTACCGGCCTGGCTGATGATGAAACAGAGGTTTTTTTAATACACTTGACATACAAAAATCGTCAACAAATCTTATCAAACTCAGAGCTTGTCTTATACACGAGCATATACGGTAGCTTAAAATCAAAATCAATATTTTGTGAAATCTTCAAAAATCAAATTTAAAGTAACTGCTAAGATATGTTTGAAAATGGATACTTCTAAAACATGCCATAATACATTAAAGCTAAGCTCAGGAGGAAAAGGATTTTTTGATATTGTAGAAACAAATGAATTTTCTAACTTAGTTAATAAAATACAGGTTTTTGAATACTTAAAAACTGGGGGGAGGGGGAAGGGGGAAGAAAGGGTGGTTACATGAATTTTTTTAATGTGAATGCGCCCATGATGATGGCATTAGAACAATTTTAGTGTCTGGTGCAAGACTCATTCCAAGTTTGTTGGTAGAAGGTTACAATGAATAATCTACCAAAATTCTACATCACATCAATTTAGAATTATGACCAATAAATCATCATTTGTTTTTATAATTAAGAAAGGATGGTAACCATAATACACCAATTATTGAATAACTTGTTGGTGGTATCCAGACATCTAAATCAAAATGATTTTAATGGTGCAGGTTGAAGAACTGTCAATAACACAAGATTTATTTGCTGACATTTGACCTGCATTGAATGCTCAGAAAGAACTATCAATGGTGCTTTGTTCTGTAGGTGATGCTTATAATGTAAACATTCAACCTATGATGAGTGTTACATTTCAGTGTAATGTTATGTGAAATGCTAAAGCAGGTGAAGCAAAAAAAAAAATAAAGGAAATAATGGATTGGTATTAAATGATTGAAAATTAGCAGTTGATTTTTGAGAGGTTGAAAGTAAAGGCAAGACACTCCACCATCTAAATTACACTAGCCATAAACATGTTCTGTCTAGATCAAACTAAACAAGGTCTCTCTCTCTCTTATTCTGATGGCACAAGTTGCACTGGGGTGGCCATCACCATTGCTGGCCAACACTCTTAATCACCAGCAGCTGATGATGCTGCTGTCCTTGTCCAGTCCATTCCTTTATGTCTCTTGTCCATGATGTTGTTGGTCATCCTCTTTCTTCGTCTTCTTTTGAATGATCCCTATACTATTATTTATTTGTCAAAGCTATTTCAATATACAGTATTGTATTGTCGTGGAATGATGTGAAAATGTATCTAAAATAAGCGCCTCTTTACAGCTGCTAGGTAGTCACAGGCCGCACCCATGCAATTCAGCACAATGGCGCTACGAGTGATGGGTTATTCTCTTACATTGACATTTACTGTAAGGTACACTTTACTATTCAGTGATAATCAAACTATGGATGGATAGATTGCATCAGAATGGATCACCCCAGATGGAGAACAATAATGAGACAACACCCCCACCCCACTCCCCACATACACACACACACATGAGGAGACACATGGGATGGTAATGATGATGATGAAACAAACTATAAATATTTTAATTGGGATAAGTATGGAATAATCAAAGAAGAATTGAAAAAAAAAAAAAAAAAAATTCATATGAACATTTTTATATTGATTTGTAAATGAAATTTGATAAATATGATGTTGATTCTTTTAAGTAAGCAATAACATAAATAAAAGTTACTTGTGTATCTTGCAAAGGACCTCAGGATCCCTAACCGCAGGGTAACAGGGGCTATACAGTATGGACCAGTACACCGGGGTAACTCCCCTACTCGTCTCGGAAGATGTACAGGGTTTTAACTTGTGCACACGTGCCAATTGTGTGCACTGGGCCTACAGGTGTCTTAATCCGATAAGACTTGTTCCACCACCAGAACCATAGGCGAGCATGCCACTCGAACCAGGGCCTATACATGGCTGTAGGTTGCAGCGCCCCCTGCCTTAATCGTTTGGTCATCCGTCTCGCCCTGTACTATTGCTAGCTGTATTATTATCTATAGTAGCTGGCTAACTCATTATTGGATACTGTACATACCAGCTATGCATCTTGACTTATCAGTTAAGTAGAACAGCAGAGCAAATTCATTATTACATGCTACATTTCTTCTTGGATGGAAGGAGACAAAGTACAAGATAAACAGCTTTGCCCAAGGATACAGTCAATGTGACCAACATCAGAATTGAACTTATGACCTGCTGGTTTGAAGCCTACAGCCATGTGCTACAGCACACACTATAACTTCATGAATCAATGTCATAAAGAACACAACACAACATTATAGAAACAAGACAAGGTAAGCGTTATGGTTAATGTTCACCCCAAACATTATTCTAGGTCTTTTGGGTCTAATAAAACCAACATGTCTAGTAAGTTGCAATGCTTGAATGAACAGGCATCCCTTCCTTTTTTAGTAAAAAATAAATCACAGTAAATACATTCAATAGACTTCGTCAACCCAAGCTTGGGAAAAACAAAAATACTGTTGATATGTTGCACAAGAATATTCTATAAAAATGAAGTGGTGTGTAATATAAAAAAAAATAATTTGAATGGCTAATACAGTAAGATATGGATTTTTGATAAAGATATTAAAAAACCTGTAGGCCCTATTTTAGTCAACAACACATCAACAAATTTGTTTTTTCCTGAGCCTGGTTTTCCTGAGCCAAAAACTTAACAATCAGTATACAGACCCAAGTTTGATTTTTACGGTATCAACATTCAAGCTCCCGAAAAAATGTTGTCATGTCAGCAACAGAAAGTAAAATTTCAACATCAGGGTACATTCTCTATTTAAATCAAGTAATAAAAAATTGACCCTAAAATTAAAGGCAGTGGTTGGTTCTTGTTTACGATTCAAATGAAGGCCAATCTCTTTCACAGTTATTATATCGGCCTAGGGCCGCCTTAACCACGGCCACAGTTTGTATTTCTAAGTCAGCTCAGGATCGCAGTGTGAACATTTACACTTACTCTTTTGCTCCAAATTTTGAGGGAAATTTTACGGTATAAAATATCAAAATTGAACGTTGTCAAGGCGACCTTGGTTCGGATTCCGTTCAGATATGGTGATGAGTCGGCCCACTGCGGAACCTGAGCCGACTTTAATGTCCGACTAACTTTAGGTCGCACTTGGGCCAGCTTAAAATTTATGGATTGTTCAGGTGGCCCTGAACCAGTCGTGAGCCGACATAACTATTAAGAGTCCCAAGGTTTCCTTGCTTTTTCACTCGTCTTGCTATTCTTGGTGTGTTTTGTTAGATGCTGCTTAAGTGTGTAAGACCTTGTTGACTTTGCGCTATATGAAGTGATCCTAATATTTATCATAATAAAAGGATTCAATTCCTTCAGGGTTCATACACTTTCTCATGAGTTAATTTCCATGATTTTCCATGACTTTTCTACCCAGAATTCCATGACTTTTCCATGACTTTTGAACCGTTTTACATGAGAGCTTTAAAATGTTGATCTCATAGCAAAGCGAAATTATGGTATAAAGAGTGTGCAATAAAATAATCTTCATCTTATTATATATTATTATTTGAACAGTTGTAATTACAGCGACAGTAACATCTCCCAATTACAAACTCTTTTGCAATAACTGTATACTCTTTGTTTCTGTGTTTGCATTTGAACTCGTAATTTTCAGAATGAATCGGCAGTTTTTACGAATGAATGAAAACACGGGAAGAAAATAGTTAACATATTTTTATTTATTTATTTACACTTCTAGTGAGAACACATTCGAATATCACATACTGTAATATTACCAAATTCCATGACTTTCCATGACTTTTAATTATTGTCCCATATTTTCCCTGACTTTCAAGGCCTGGAAAACATGATATTAAAATTCCATGACTTTCCATGTTTTCCATGACCCGTACGAACCCTGTCCTTAATGCGCAATGAACTACTCAAAGCCGATTTCAAATTTATCCCTTAATGAACCATCTTTACTGAACAATATAGTGGGACAAAGCACAGACTTTTAGTATCATTATCATTTCCACACTGTGCCTCGTAATGTTTATAGCATCTAATGGTTGCCATGGAATCAAATAAGTATAATTTGCGTTGCTAGGCAGAGATTATGAACGCCTATAAAAAGCTCAATTTAAATGATGCTGCAAAAAGGCATCCTCATCTTTTTCTCTACTTTCATAATTTATTATCAATTTAATAATTCATTTATTTTTTAGTATCAGTTTACATTAATCTGTGTTTGAACAAAATATTAAAAGGTTAACCATATAAAAAAAATATTTTCATAGCTAAAAAAATGATGAATAATGTAAATAAATCTGTGAATAAATATGTAGAATATAAGCTTTCAGTACCAACATTTAGCAAGCGTTCACTTTAATGGTACCGGTATGTGTTACGTGCGTTGCATATTAAATGTAGGTTAAGCATGCTCTCCAGGACAAGAATACAGTACTTACAAGCAACATCCACCCGAGCACCTTTGCTTATAATAGTCCCAATCTTGTTGGACACCAAACATCGATATATCCCCTTATCGCTTTGACTCACTGACAGTAATTGTAGCGAAGAACCTGTGCTGCCTAAATCTACACCGTCCTTCTGCCACGTAAACACTAATGGTTGATCTCCCGTTGCGGTGCATGTTAGAGTGTGTCGGTTGCCTTCTATAAAGACTTCGTCCTCTGGCTGGGATATTAAAAATGGCTGATTACCTGTAAGTATAAGAAATAACTTGATTAATATTTCAAATTAAATTGCTATTTATATGCTTTTTTTATTCATTCTCATTCAACAGTGCGCAATTTGCCATAAAGATGATGTAATAACAAAGATAGTTTATATAGCGCTTTATACAACTAGAGATAACCCTGAAGCGCTTGCAATAATAATACAACAATGAATTGAGTATCTTTATACTGTAGCTCAATTTATACACTACAATATAAAACTTAAAACACACTATCAAATCTTACAAGAGGAATACTCACAATTTTCCCCATATATGGGTATGATGACATCATCATAAATTGTATAGCAACATATATGGACATAATGTCATATGACATCCATAAATTGATATCATGCCCATATATGGATGTCATATGACATCATGATGTCCATATTTGTAGCCTGTCATACACTTTTTTTATATACTATAAAGCTTTACTCACACTATCAAATCCTACATGTGAGAAATGCCCATGATTTTTTCATATGGGTATAATGACATCAACATGCCCACATATGGATGACACATGACATTATCATGTCCATGTTCCCATACAATTTGTACACATGGTAAGCTTTAGCACTATCAAATCGTGAGAAATTTACCCATGATTTTTTCCCACAATATGGGTATGATGGCATCATGCCCATATATGGAAGTGATATGAAATCATGTCCATATATGTTGCCATATGGAAATGTGAGGTTATATGATAATGAGACATTTATCAGAGAGCTCATGTAAAATAAATGTTTCTGCCAATACAATGACAAAACACTACAGTAACACTGGCAATCAAGAACTCAGCTCCAATCTCAACTTGCTCTCTTCTGCCATACATTTCAATTTCTCTATTTGAAAATTGTTAAATTGCTTTCCATACAGTATACTCCATAAAACAAAAAAGCGTGATCATCTAAATTGGCATGAAACTCCATTTGCCAATAATACTAGCACAAAATTTCAGTTTACAGATCGACGCTTGGGACCAATTTCTGATAGGAAATACCGTCATTGAATAGAACAATTTGGACAAAGATATGTAGTTCAGTTGTATCTAAAGTGGTTGTTTGCAGTTATGATATTTCCATACGGTTTCAATTATTTCCATCTCTGTTTTTGTAATAACAGCGCACATTCTTTAGATATCCTTTCCATTAAAGTATATTGTGACAAAATTTATAGTTTTACCTTGAACTAGTTAATACATATCCACATATTTTTGTAAATGATTTACTCTGACAATTAAAATATTAATATTGTAAAGCTTTATGCAGTTCTAGTCTGTAAATGATTAATAGAAATAGACATCACATTGAGAATTAATTGCACATTGACTATTTAAGAAACAAGATTTCATACAGCAGAGCGGCCGTTCTGTGGTATAACAACGTAACTGGAAATTTCCACTTTTCTAGAAAAACAGAGTTAAAGTTACTAATTAGCATGTTTGCAACTTGGCAATAAATTGATGTACTGTACTGTACCCTTATGAAATTTTGCATGACTATATATCTATAGACATTATGATGATATAATAATAATAAATTTATTCTTATATAGCGCAAAATGCAAGAAACCTCTAAGCGCTTTACAATGACAGGAAAACCGGATCAAAATAAAAGAAAAATGATTACAACAGTGAGGGAAATCAGGTTAACATTATGAATGAATATTTATTTATTTATTTTAATTTATTTAATTTATTAATTTATTTATTTACTTTATTTTATTTTTATTTATTTATTTTTTATTTATTTATTTTTTTTATTTTTTCTTTCAATTACTTTCTCATTCCATTTGGTTACTTTCCAATTATTTCACAGTTTATATTTTTCTTATGTGTTTGGCTTGTCATGTCTATCCTTTCCTCACAGCCCTTGCCTGTATTTCCCAATCCCCATTTCCTTTCCTTTTCTTATGTTCACATAACTTTCCTTCATTTTTCATTCTGGTGTTACCTTATCTTTTCCTTTCCTTTTCCTTTCTTATTTTCCTTATCATTTCTTTCCTTTTCCATTTTTGTGTTTCCTTATTTTCTTTCCTTTTCCTTTATTTTGTTTCCTTATCATTTCTTTCCTTTTCCTTCTTATGTTTCCTTATCTTTCTTTTCTTTTTCTTTGATAATATATGTAAAATGTTAATTACAACCGTTGGTTTATTGCAAAGTTACAGTATTAGCGGTACTCACAGATACGTTGTTTGATCACGCAAACATGTCGGGCGCGGTATTGAATGTATTTTGAATTTATCACGTGTGTGGCAATCATATGCATTACCTAGCTTGTGCATACTGTACGTCGCCGTTTATTATTGATATGAAAACACCATCAACAAGTAGATTTTCCTGTACCATACTCCATTAGATCAAAATCATTTTAATTCCAAATCGTATACGTTGCTTTGCCACATGATCTGGCAAAACCACTCATTGTTAAGAACTGAAATGTTCACAGGAAATTTGGAAGGGTTTAACATACTCCTAAATAATCTCAAAATCGACAAAAATATTAGTCACATTGTTTAGCCCCAGAATGGCCGAGCAGTACTTCTTCAGATGAAACAAAATGTAATTTTCTATGTTAGTGGCCTACATATTTCTTTTATCAGATTCATGGTTTTACATACTGTATGGGAAAGTACTTATTATTGTGATTAGCAATAATAGAGGGTATGCCTAGAGGTACAATAAAATGAATTACTGACATGTCAAATTCAACTACGTTTTCAATCTTTCCTTTCTAAAGTTCATATTTTTGCCTAATTTTTTTTACTAAACATAAAATGATGAATCAAAATGAATGAACAAAAAGTATGTAAACAAAACTATACAATATACTGGAATATCATAACTGTATAATTTTTGAAAACAGTAAATTTACTGTATTAACAAAAAATAATGGATACTACGAGAGAAGTTATAAAATAAATAAGGCCCAATAAAAGAAAATAATTGTTTCATTTTTTTTAGTAAATAGTAGATATTGTTTGCATTAATATCTCAATCATGTATTTTACTTTGAAAATCAATGCGCTAGCAAACAACCTAATGGAGATATTCGGCTTACGCAAAATAAAAAATAAAAGTCTCAGTCCCTCGTAATTTTCCAGCCTAGATTGGGTGATAAACTAATAAATTTTATAGGACCTTAATAAAAATGACGGATACTATGTGAGATAGGATATAATAAATAAATAATTGATGGGATGACCTTGGTATATTCGTAAAATTCCATGTTAAAGGGATATTATACTTATGTAATAGCTCATTCACATTATTTACACTAGATCATTAGCAGTAAAGTCTACAATATAAAATATTTGTAAGTACAATAACTCATAGATAATTGCAAATTTTTTTTCGAGAAACCAGATGAGAAATCCCCAAAGCTTATATTTATCACAGTGAATGGATGTCAGTATCTATTTTCGATGCTTTGCAACATTTCCCCATTGACGGATGAGAATGATAAAGTTCGGATAAATTATGTATTCACATGCAAAGTAGTTTAATCTTGTTCTCATTCCCTTTGTTTTTTAAATAGCAACCAGCAGAAGACTTGTTTGTCTACAGTGATCAATACTTAAAGCTCTGTCTACACTATCACATTTTGTGTGACAAATACATGTTGTGAAAATTTTGTGTGACAAAAACATTTTGTGTGACAAATACATGTGATGATGCACATATTTTGGGTATAATATGACATCATCATGCCCATATATGGGCGCATTACACAAATTTGTCACATTAAAAATGAGTTTAAGCGCTCCACTATCAAATGTTATGTGACAAATACATGTGATATGCCCATAATGGGATATGACATCATCATGCCCATATATGGGCACATTACACAAAATTGTCACAAAAAATTTGAGTGTGGACAAAGCCTTGTTCAGACTATCATATTTTATTTGAAAAAAACATGTGATATGCCTAAATATGGTAATGACGACATCATATCATGACCATATATAGGCACATCATGACTATATATGGGCATGTACAACAGATTTTTGTCAAAAAAATTGGTAGTGTAGACAAAGCTTAATATTAAATCAAGTTGAATGACACACATGTTGCATGATAAACGAGACACGCAGCAAACATAATTACTCTAATGGAATACAACGCCAATATAACCAGATCAACCAGAGAATAGACCCACCCATAATACGATGCATACAATTAATGCTGTCAATGTATGTAACACAATATTTGGGGCATTGATTGTATTTATTGAAGGTCAGAGGTGGCTGTTCAGATTTGCAATGTCAGCATCTCTTAATACTTTTCTCACCTTCTTTATGTTGCATCAAACACACTACACAGTCAACACAGTAGCAAGCTACTGTAGCTATTGGGACAGTTAGGACAGTGACACACAATTTTTCTATGAATCCACAAAGAATGTGTCCACATTTTTAAAAATGGGTCTAAATTATGCTGTTTTATAAACAAAATGAATGCACTTTTTGGAATGTGGGTTCAGATTTCTCATATTTTAAGTAAAATGAATCAACTTTTAAGAAAATGGGTCCAGATTTTTTATATTAATTGCATAAAATGGGTTAAATTTTAAGAAAATGAGTCCTCATTATTGGAATTTATACGTAAAGTGGGTCCACCCTGATATTGTCCCGCACTGTTTGAAAATCCTGGCTACAGCATTGTACACATTACCTTAAATGATCATGTTTAAAAAGCTTTGGAGGTAAAATAGAGCTTACAGTACTACAGTGCTTGTAACTTTAATACAGTAACTATCTCCCAATTACGAACCTCCCAATTACGAACTCTCAATTTTACGAACCCAATTTGTGATGATGTCGTCATTACGAATGATCATTTTTAACTATAAAAACACTTAAAATTGTACAGTATTATAATTGTATTGTGGAAACTTGGTTAGAAATATGGTTCTTCAAAATTAAAAGTTAAAGGTTATAACTATATTTCCACACAAAATACTGGGTCTC